ATTGATATGCCGAGATGGAATTACGGAGAGCCATATGTTCAGATGTACTTTCCCTTTAGATAATTATTAAAAACGTTGCGGGTGATGTTACCAACCAACGATGATGTTTCGATTACTAGCAAAAATTTTCGGTAGCACTCACAAAAAAAATTATTCTCCAATTTCTTGTTAAGCTCCATTTTGGACTCTATTTTTTAAAAAATTTATTTTCAAACATATATTATCCTATAAAATAATATTATATGTAAACTCAAAATTTTTTGTACATTTTAATCTCTCAAAAAAATAATATTATTTCAATGGTCGCTGAACATTGTCAAATGTTACTATTTAATAATTGAATTTTAAAATGTATCTAAAATGGTCATTGAACTTTGTCAATTGTTATTACTTTATAACAGACTAAAGTGATGAGAACGGTGCTTAGTTCACCTACCATTGAGATACATTTTTAAATTTATTTTTTAAGTAGTAACACGACATAGTTCAGTGACCGTTGAGATACATTTTTCAATTTAATTATTAAGTAAGTTTATCACNTAAGTTTATCACACCTTTGTGAAAGAAGAAACCAAAGAAATGAAGGGAAAAAAGATGAAATGGAAAATTAGATACCTATAAATCGAAGAAAACTAGAATTTTTGCTGCTCAAATGGAGGATATACGATACTAGATTGGGTCTGAATAATTTGTAGAGTCATTAAATTTTCAACTAGCTTATCGCCCTTCATCAACAACTACCGCTCCATTCACTTGAATTATCGGATTGTTCAGTTAATTGGTCATTTCTTGTTACAATTTTTGGTCTTTTTATTTTCGTGCTTCTCCCGTTTCTCTTCATTTACGGTGAAAAGTACTTTTGATTTTCGGATCAACTGATATCAATTCACCATAACTCGAACTTCGCATAAAAATCCTGAAAGAGATATAATAGGCACACTAAAATAAATTGATAGAAAAAATTAAATAAAAATGCTCGAATTAGTGTCAAGATAATCGAGGTCGATTTGAGTTTCTTCTTTTCGCCCTTCATTTTCTTTAGTTTCTTTTACAAATGTCGATTTGAGGGAAAAATGAATTGACACTACTTATGGCTTGTTTGAGCCTCATTTTTTTTTTCGTAGAATGCATTTTGAAATACTAAATTGATGGATAATGTGTGATTAAAAATGAAGCAAAAGTTTTGAATTGTGTGTAATTTTATTTTTTTGAAAAATTTGTTGTTGAAAAATAAAAAATAGAAAAATGTATTTTGAAAAAAAAGGGGAATCGAACAAAATCTTAATAACTAAACTTAAAAATATATTTCAATTATCACTAAACTATACCAAGTACTACTACTTAACAACTGAAGTTAAAAATATATATAAATGGTTATTGAACTGTACACCATTACTCATCTATCACTCAAATGAGTGACCATATGATACATTTGTAAGTTCAATTATGAAGTAATAACACTTAACAAATATCAGTGACTATTCAAATAAGAGTTATTCCCCAGGTACATGGAATAACTCACAATTTGTAAGCATCTCGTGCATCTGTGTGTGTATGTGTTTTTCCCATATTTGAATTTGTGTTGTTCATTTCAAAATTCTGTATCAATGTCCTGTACTTGTAGACTGATTCTTCAAATAATTAATCCTTAATATATACTTTGCTTTTGTTGTGGTTTGTTTTGAAAAGAAAAGATAGATATAGGATGTGTTTGAACCACATTATTTTGGAAGAATATATTTTGGAATAGTAGATTGATGGAGAATGTCTGGTTGAAAAAGAAAGAAGAGTTAATGATATGATGGAAAATATTATTTCATTGAAAATGTGTGATTGAAAATGAGTAGAAGAGTGCGAATAAAATTTTTAATGTGACTCAAATAGGGGCATAACTAATTCCAGAATCCAAGACTCGAAGTTCAACGGCAAGCCGAGCTTGTCTGAGGTCTAAGTTTTGGATCAAACGTTCAATTGTGTGACTTATCATTTATGCAAGCTCAAATGTCAAATTAAATATTTAAAAAACATGTGATGAGCTTTTCTTTATCCGATGTTAAAAAAATTCGATATTCTATTAATTTTTCAACCCAACCTATAAGCTTAGCCAAACTAGCGGTGGCAATGGGCCGAGCCAGCTGGCAATGGGCCGAGTCGAGCTGGCTCGGCCCATCTACCCTTGAGCTCGTCTTGACGAGCCGAGCTCAAACTCGTTTTAGCACGAGCTTAGCTCGGCTTGTGTTGAAGGGTCGAGCTCAGCTGGACCCACGAAACGCTCATCAAATTTTCTTTTCTTTTTTTTTTTAAATTTTTAATTTAATTTTAGTTTTTTTCTCACATTTTTTACGAGCCTGGCTTGTGGGCTCGGCTCGTCTCGTCAAAACGACGAGCCGAGCAGGCTCGGCTCAGTTCAGGTTCGGGCTCGTCAGCGGCTCACGAGCGGCTTTTTTACGAGCCGAACCGATAAGCCACTCAGCTCGAATGCTCCCTCTAAGCTAAACACGTACATTTGTATCTTTAGATGGCTGCAAAGTGACAATTAAAATGTTTTATTTCCGTGTTTACTTTCTTATTGATATTTTTAAATACAAATTAAATTTAAACATATAAAAATGTGGATTTTACTACACGTATATCAATATTTACATAATGAATTACATAATGTCACATGATACTCTACTACTTGTGAGTTTAAAATAAAATCAAATTTTTATCAAATATTTTCCCTTTATATCATATTATATAATCCATTATGTACATTTTTCTATTTACAAGTAGTAAAATTCTAAAAAAGTTAAAAGCGTTGAGACATAAATCATGTTCTTGTCCCATCCCGATTATAGGAGGGCCAGCGCCAATTTTGGATTTCATTTTTTTAAAAAAGTTACTTTTCAAAATGGTGAAAAAATGAGTAATTATTGTGAATATATAATATATTAAATATCACATCAAATAAGAATAATTTTTGGAACGATTATATCGTTACTACAATTCAGTTATTTTAATAATACATTACTTTTCATTTTTTAATATATATTTAATTTACAAATTGTATTAAATACTATAAATAATTCTCAATTAATTGACATTTACATTCATTAATTATTTTTAATTCACGTTCACATTCAGTTCATTATTCACGTCCATGTATACTAATTAACATCGAGTTTCACCTAATTGGAAATTAAATATTTATATTTAATATAAACAATTTAATATTTAATTTAATATTTGTCACGTATATATTATTTCGTAGTAATTTTAAATTAATTAACATTCACATTAATTCATATATTATATTTGCAATTCATTTTCATTTATACATTTAGTTGTAATTCTAATATTCTCATTTAAGTATGTATTTCACTATTTATGCGCATGTATAATAATTAATATTTATTTTCAGGATTTATATTTTTCTCATATTTGAATAAAAAGGGTAAATGAAGGATTAAATATTATTTTCGCAATATTAATAATGTACGCACCGAAAAGTACAAAATGTATTGACTAGATTGATGACTGAAAAGTAAAATTTTAGGAGGACGAAACGAAGCGTACGGCTTGTTGTGCTGACGGTTTGACATGGCAAAAAAGTCCTATTGGAAATTGATAGGGATAATATGGTAAATATAAAAAATAGCCGACAAAATCAAAAGAACATAGTTTCGCGGCTTTGTATGTTGGGTAGTGCTGTTCTGACAATATTCCCTGTGTATATCTTCCTCCAATGCAATGCTCCCTGTATTTTACATTTTTAGGGCACTGTGATCTAAATCTCATTTACTAGTTAGTAATCAAAATCAAATACTCCTACTGAAAATACCTTTACGAAAATCTTAATTATTATCAAAATCCAAAATTTGTTATCGAAATCTGCATTATCATTAATCACAGTCAAATTTTCGCATTTATTGCTTTCCCATTTTAAGCTACTGCTCCATCCTTTCTAGGGTTACATCTTCACTCTAGTTTCTGCTGACTTTGTGGGATTTTGCTTATATCATATGCAATGGAGCCTTGAAAAGTTTTCTCAAATTCAATTTGTAAGTGATTTTTTGTATTAATTTTTTTCTAGGTTACTCAGACTAAAAAATGATTTTTCCTCTTGGTTTTACTTCGAAGTTTTCATGTTTGTTTTTCATTTTCTGGTGGGGGTATTCGGAGGATCAAGATGTTGGTATACAGTCAAAATGTACTTTTTTTTAGGTTACTTATCAGTGGTTTTTATTTTATTTTCATTTTTAAAATTTTTTTGGGAAGAACAATTATTTAGCCCTTTGAAGGTGTGTCCTGGCTTCTAAAATTTATGGGTTTTCATCAAGTTTCATGAATCTCTGTCTTTTGGAAAGATTCGCTTATATTGGAATTTTGTTGATTATCTTTCCTGGTAGATATGCTCAGGCTTAAAAGTGGTACTTTTTATTTATTCTTGAAAAAGAATATAATAAAGTGGAGTACATTTTTGTTCAAATATAGGTTTTGATTGATCACTGAAAAGAAAAATCAATTTGTCATGATCAGGTGGATAGAATTCGTGAATCAGAGAAAAAGAATAAGTTGGTAGAGCAAATTTGGGCAACCATTCAGCGATGGATTTCTTCAAACTAAAGAAGTTTAGGAAGGACCACAAGCCAAATCAGGAACTTGTTTCTGAGCCAGTGCTGCATCCGGAAGAACCCAAGAAAGACCGTGTCGATGCATTGGGTAAATCGGTTAATGCTGATTCTGCCAATTCTGAAAATGAAGAGGATGATGATGATTTTATCACAAATGAGGTAAAGAGAAGGCTGAAAGAGCTGCGGCGAAACAGTTTTATGGTGTTGATACCTGAGGAAACGGCTCCAGAGGACGAGGACGTAGAAGAAGGAGAAGAAGAAGAAGAGGGGGAGACCAGCTCTTGTGAGTGGAGGGATGTGGAGGCAGAAGGCCGACAGTTCTGGTCTGGGTTTGATGCCGTGTATGACAGATACTGTGAGAGGATGCTGTTTTTTGATCGATTGAGTGCTCAGCAGCTTCCGGAAGTTGGTAATTACTTTTACTACTCCGAATAAGCTTGCTTCCCGAGTAATATATTTCATGGATCTATTTCTGTATATTTATTAATATTGGAGATCTATTAGCTTTATAATTGGTATTTGCATTGCAGATTAAATCTGATCGCCAGCATATTTGGTATCATGCATTAATCAGGTTTATGCATTTCTAAATGGTATTGTCAAAATCGTACTAGATCACTTTGCTAGTTAACATGTGAAACATTTTAAATGATCCTACTGACGTTCAACTGACCTATACTCCTAGTGGTTGGTGCTTGCGGCATTTCCATTTTCAGCTTGGATCAAGATCTTGACAGATTAAATGTTTGTTCTCTCGTAATGATTGACAATAACGAGCCCAAACAATATTTCTGCTGCCTCATTTCCAATCGTTGGTTGTTCATTATAAAACGGTATTGTTACACTTGGTGCCTTGAGATAAATGCCAAACTTTTATTCTCGTGTTCTTCCTTTTTTAGTGCTTTGACTCATGTGGTCGAGGCTGATTCTATGGCTGTCTCAATCTCGTGATAGCATTTAAATAGTATTTTTTTTTTGTTTGGAAATAGCTTGATCCCTTCTTGGAAGTAACCCCGGAAACAATACTGATTTCACCATGTAGGACTCGATTTGAAACCCTTTCTGGATCATAATGTGTTTTTTCCTCGACAATAGAGCCTGATAGAAAAGCTCCTACATTCTACCATCTTTTCTCTATTGGATCCTGAGGGTCAAAAATCTTGGTTTGAAATGAAGCCTTTTGCCGTGCAAGCCATATGACGTGGAATAAGCCCTTAGAGAGAAAATGTGCATTCTCAAAAGATCTTGCTATCCAGAAAGATACTTAGTCCGCTACGTCTAACGAATGGTTTTTCCAAGTGGCCTGATTTCAGAATTTCTTCACTTGTACTCCAGGTGTTCTTTTTCTATTAATAGTCAATTTTCCCTTTTGAAGTAAACTTTCTGCTGTCATTACTTTGCTTTGCTCCCTCAAATATGAAATACACCCCCTGGCTCCTGCTATTTTGTAGCAGGTAATTAGGGATTGTTTTCTACCCCAATTTATTCCTCCCTATATGTGGGTAAGTTTGTCATTTTACAATTTCATGAACTCGAGGACCTATGAAGCACGGATACTCCTACGAGGGTCACGCGTCCATGTCCGACATGCATTGCACCGTGTTGGACACCGACACTCATTGAACACTCTACTATATACAATTTTTAAAAATTTAAATCAAAGAGTCCCTGGCTTATCCATCTTGTGTCGTGTAAAAGTTGTGTTGGTGTGTCCGAGTTGTAGTTAGCTTGGAAGGATAGGGGTTACAGTGGATATTGATTCAGTATTTTGAATGTCTCGAATTCAAAACGGAACATGAAACCACTCATTGGTGCTATGTAATTACAAATCTTTCCTATTTCTCCTGATATCAAGACTTCCGATGCTTGAACAGGTTTGCCACAGTTTTTGTTGTTGGATGCTCTCATTCAGCTTCTCACTTCATTATTCCTTATGTAAAGTTAATTAACTTGAACATTCTTCATCTTGCTCACGGCATGCGATTTGGCAAAAAATGAGGAGGTGAAAAGCCTAGCTTCTTGGGGATAATTGAAATCAATACGATGACTGATAGTTATATGGTTATCCTAGTCATAAGGCAAAATGAGGCCTATGATACATTGTTGGATAGCTCTCAGAACTAGGTTTCTGTCATGGAAATTATCTATACGTTGGTTAGTAAGGCAAAATAAAGCCCGCGATACATTCGCGGAAAACTCCCAGAACTACCATTCTATTACAATATTTCTGTTTACAGAAATCATCCACATATTGGTAGGAATTTGTGCCCAAATCAACACTGGGCAAAGGGCCAAATTGTCCTATCTTTGATGGGTAATCTTTATGCATCACATGGGCAGATATATGGTTAACAAGTATCATTTTTTGTTCTTTTTCTCAGTTTGTTGTATCTTAAATTTATTAATCGGCTTGTTGAATTTCTTTTCTTAACTTATGTACATCAAAGTTTCAGGCTCTCATGTTCTCTCAACTCCGTCACCAAGATTAGCATCTAAAAAGCTTGCATCTCCACTTCGATGCCTTTCATTGAAAAAATTTGAACCACCGGAAGAGGAAACTGAACACCTGCAGCAGCCTGAAAGTGATCCATGTCAGGATCTTGAAACAGCATATGTAGCACAAGTGTGCTTGACTTGGGAGGCACTTCACTGCCAGTATACACAACTGAGCCATAAAATATCTTCCCAACCTGAAAGTTCCACCTGTTACAACCATAGTGCTCAGCAGTTTCAGCAATTTCAGGTTTTATTGCAGAGGTTTATTGAAAATGAACCATTTGAGCATGGTTTAAGGCCAGAAATCTATGCTCGAGCAAGAAATTCATTACCTAAACTGCTACAGGTTCCAAAGATCCAAGGTGTGCATGAATGTTCTTAAATTGTTTTTAGTCATATAATTTTTTTCCTTCGCTGCCACCATGCTGTTTATGCCTTTATTATAATATAGCCATGTTGAACCGAACCATTCTTCTATTAAGAATTTGTAAATAATACATTTGATATTCTTAATGTGCTTAAAATTGGATTGTGTTGCTGGTTTTCCTGAACAGTCTTCCTTATGAGTTTAGGTTCTAATGAGAAAAGGACAGGGGAAGAGGAGTCTGATTATGTGGTACTTGCCCCTGATCTAATTAGAATTATGGAATGCTCAATCCTAAGTTTCCGCCAATTCATGAAGATGGACAAGAAAAAATTAGGTGGCATCCGTAATTTATTTGGAAGTCAGAACCAGATGGCTACACCACTTCAACAGATTCAATCATCTCATGAGAAGGTGAGCTCAATCTTCCATGGTTATCTCTACTCTGTTAATCCATTCAACTATCAGCTTGATTAGGCACATTTTCTCTGGTCCTTAAATCAACTCAGTATTAAGTCACATCAGCTTATTTCTTTTGTTCTTTATATTCATGTTTGTACACTTTCTTATCTATCTATTTGTCGCAAAATTAATAAATAAATGCCAAGCTAAACATAGGACTTATGACTACTAAAAACACTTCATAAGAATTTAAGCAACTGTATTGAATATGCTACAAAAGGATGTTATAAATTGTTGCAGCTATAGAAGTTCATTCAAGAACGAATGCTAACCTATTAAATCACAATTATCGTTGAATTATAAAGGCTGATGATTTTTAGTTATAACAAACAAGATGCAGATTATAGAGTAAAATGAGACTGTGTTGCAGCAATTTTCTTCTCAACTTTAAAGTCTGAATCTAATTCTGACAATGATATGCACAAAGGTAACAATGATGCTGTAATAATTTCTAGTAATGCAAGTCAACTTCAAGGTAAATGTTCAAATTATCTAACTGGAAGATGGAGGAAATCGTGGACAAGCTATTTATGGTGGTATGGTCAATGAACTACACCTGTTAACCATGATCCTTAAACCCTGTGTTTTTAGCAGGAATGCATTGCTTTATCTACCCCCCCCCCCCCCCCCCCCCCCCCCCCCCCCCCCCC